ATTTTATGTTAACCACACGCACTCACGCCACCAGAATCAGTAATGTGATATCTGTTGAGGATATACATGCAGGTGTTCTGAGGGTGGAATGTCTCTAGGGAGGGGAGCACCTGCGAAATCCCAGCAGATGGACGATCCCTTGCTTTGTGACATAAATGTTCACAGCAGCTCTGACCTGGATGGCTGGCCCTCGGGCTGGCCGGTCCACTCAGCACCCTGGCCCCAGAGTGACCCGGCGTCTGCTCTCAGTGCCCCCAGACCTGCTGGACTGAGTGGGTCACTGTGAATCACCCCCATGGATTCCTGGGCCCCGGGGGGGGACCCACTGTGGCTGAATCTGACACACACCTGCTGCAAGAGGAGCCCGGGCCTTGCGGATGGTCCCTTTCTCGTGGGCACTTGTGTTTGCTTCTGGGTGAGCCTCATGTGAGTCGTGTATGTCATCCTAAATTGGGACATTGTGGGGGTCGGGGCCCTGGGAGCCGGGTGCTCGTTGAGGTCTGAGAGGGTTTGTTGCCAGGGCCGGCACTGAGGGTGAGAATGACCCAGAACCCGGACACATGCACCCCGCCGTGGGCCCAGAGCCCTGCTTTTCCCTTACTTCCTGGGTGGGCGTGGGAGTGTGTCAGATCTCAGCACACACGGGGCATCTCAGGGGGCTCATGCAGGGAACGGTAAATCAGAACCCGCCAGCACTCCTGGGTGCCCAGCCCGGCAAATCCCGGTGCCTCAGACAAGTGTCTTTGGTCTCTGGGTCTCCGCCTCATCATTTGTAATTGGTGACATCTCAGGCCTCTTCTGGACAGAGGGTTTGACAAACTGTAGAACAAAACAGAGAAGGGGGTGGAGGCTGAAGGTTTTGTGTGCAAATTTGGACTAGTCACTTAAAATGGATAATTTCAGAGTAAAAGCTAAGTATTTCTAATTAGGTCGATTGCAAATGTTTGTGCACAGAGAATTCTGTGCGTTTACATTTAGATTTTAACAGGGAGATTTGACAGAATTTATCTCCCATTTAGCTCAGGACACTCAGCCCTCTTCATTTCTAGTCTCCAGTGGCTGTGCTTTTTCTCCCACAACAAAGTGGTGGCGGAGTCCCGTTTCCTGGCGTGTTTGTGGAGGCTGTGAAGGTGATGGAACGGGGCCAAGTGCAGACGCTCCGTAGAGAGCTGTCGCGCCAACAGAATTCTTTTCCATTTAGAATCTTGGTGAGAGTCTCACTCCTCATCGCCATTTCCAGGACCAGCCGGCCCTGAGGGACGAGCAGCGCCCGCTTTATCCACAGCGCGTTGCTGGGCAGTGCATTCGATCCTGCCCCTTGAACCCGATGGTCGGGTTTTACTTCTGGCCGCAGCGTGGGCAGGGAGAACCTCAGTCTTGGGGGCTGTTTACTGAGTGGCGCAGGTGTGTTTCTGCCTCTTGGCAGAACACTTATTTCCCAACAAGTGGTGTGGGCTAAGGGTGCTGGGTGGGCTCAGAAAGGAGAGGGCGGGGCGGGGCGGGGACGGGGGAGTGGTTTCAGGTCAGGATTGTCCTCTCTGCCTCCCTCCTTGTCAGGGCTGCAGTTAAGTGTCTCCTGGGAGAGCATGTGATATGGGCTTGGCCCTACCTTTGCCCACTGGCTCCTCTCAGAGAAATGACTGCACACGGGGCTCGTGGCCAGAGCATGATCTCTGTGGCCTGGCTGCCTCCCTGCCTGGGGCCAGTGGCCCAGCAGCCCAAGCTCAGGGATGCAGGGTTCAGACTTCCCCTAGAGACCAGCAGCTCAGCCTTGGGAGGTGGGTCCCACTAGGAGTGGGTTCCAGCCGACCTGGGCATCATCAGGCCGCCCTGCTCCAAGTGTGTGTGGACTGACAGCCTGTGGGGAGTTGGCCCTCGTTATGTATTCCTAAGCCAAGGCCGCTTCCCCTGTTTAAAGCCCTTAAGGTACATGTATATTTTTTTTTAAAGATTTTATGTATTTATTTGACAGAGTACAAGCAGGGGAGCAGAGGGCGAAGGTGAAGTAGGCTCCCCGCAGAGCAGGGAGCCCGATGCGGGGCTCGATCCCAGGACCCTGGGATTACGGACTGAGCCACCCAGGCACCCTAAGATACATGTATATTTTTAAAGCCAGGGCTTCACAAATAGGTCAGACGCTAAATCAGTGAGAAGTAGGGAAGGTCAGTAGAGGGAAGTGATTTGTCGAGAAAGGAGTCTTCATTCCGGCTCTTCTACACAAAAACACACAAAGCTCACCACTCTATAAATGTAGCACACGCTTGTAGTATAAATCGAGGACAGGACAGAAAGAGGAGACGAGGGGCCCCCGCGAGTCTTGCCACCAGCCAGTGTTCGTGTCCTGCCCGCGTTCCCTGCTGCCCGTTGGAGGCGTGAGCGGCCCAGGGTCCTGTCTGTGCGTGCTGGCCGGCGGCCGCGCCCCCACTGCTCCCCCAGGCGCCAGGGTAGATGGCGCCAAGATGCTTTTCTCTGGGCTTTTGCAGAAGTGAGCCTAAGATTCATATTCTGAATTGGGGTTTTTTGTTTGTTTGTTTTTCCGTTTCTGGGTTGTGTGTTCTTCCTTGTTTCTGTTGTAGGCTAGAGGCCCCAGGGCTGCGTGCCCCGCGCAGTACGTGAGGCGCCCGGCCTGCCCCCGGCGACGCCCCTCAGCTCTGGAGCCTGCTGCTCCCGCTCAGGTGCTCAGACACGTGCTTTTTACAGAGGTCCTGCCTGTGCGCGTCTGAATGAGAGTCGGTCTGTGGTCCTCTGGGCAGCAGCCCAGGATAAAGCCTGGTGGAGTTTTGGGGTCTTGGTGTAGGGCCCCCAGCACTTCCTGTGGAGGCTGAGCCTTCCGCCTGACGAGCGCAGGTCAGAGTCCTGAGAGTCCTGCCCAACCTCGGAGTCCATCCGATCAAAACAAATCCCCAAGAAGAAACCGGTCCAGAGAGCCTTGGCGGGACTCCATGGAAGAAACCGCTTTTGAGTTTCCCTAAGTGTTGCTCCTCAGTGGCAGGACCGGGCCGGCTGGCTCGTCACTGGCAGGGGGCGGCACATCCCCGGCATCAGATTACTCGGGGCACAGCCTGCCACACAAGGCCATTCAGTGAACCTGCCATTCTGGGTCCAGGTGGGGGGCCCCCAGGCAGCGTCAGGATGAGGGCTCGGTGTGGTGGCGCCACCGTCAAGACAGCCGCGGGGCTGAGCGCACACTGCCTCGGAAGCTCTGGAGCTCAGGCTTGCCCTGCACGGGGGAGAGTGCGGTGTGATGATGGTCCTCTTGAGCCCCTCGTGTGGGCCCAGTGTGGTAGGGAGGTTCCCCGGGGCACCCTGTCCCCATCGGATCTTGTCCTTCTGCCAGCTGGCCATCGAGGTTAGTGGGGAGCCAGTGAGTTGTTGCTGAGCTTGCTGATGTGCACATGTCACGCACGGGGCTCTCTTTTCACACCTGAGGATGGGGGTGGAGACGAGCCCCTGACTTCGTGGCCACTTTTTACCAGTAGGGAGACTGGTCGAGCATCCTTCTTCCAGAAGCTGGTCCCCGGGGTCCTTGGCCTTGCTCGGAAAACAGGTGGGGTCTGGGGGGACGGGAGGTAGGGTCCATGGGACAGTGTCTGGCGCTTCCTTAGGTGGGTGGGCTGGAGCACGAGGGTGAACCCGGGAGGTATGGGTGAGGCTGGGGCGGCGTCTGGGGGCCGAGGCCCGCAGGGGAGAGAGGCGGTGGCCTGTCCTGGCAGGAGGTTGGGCTGAGCGCCCGGGTCCTGCCCACGGGGCAGCAAGGCTCCAGGTCCCAGCACGCACACATCCAGAACCCTAACTGACTTGACGTAAGAAAAGCAGGTCTGCAGTGGTGGACGTCAGGAAGCCCCTGGAACCTCCAGGCCCTGCCACACTTGGGTGAGAAGTAGGGCCCTAATGTGGCCCCTGTTGCTTTACGGTCAGGATGCTTCCTGCCTCTCTCTGTCTCTGCATCTGGTGTCTGTAGGCAGAGCACATCCAAGAGCTCCAGGTCTTCCCACCACCATGCTTGCCCTACAGAGATGCTGACACACTGTCCTCTGTGGTCTCCTCTGGTCCTGCTCCTGTGGACGGCCCCCCCAGAGCCTGCCACGCTGACTGTTCCATTGACTCTGGAGTCACCCTGTTGTGTCAGGGAGGCCTCCCCGGGGCTTGCAGGAGGAGCAGGATGGCAGCCTGGGCCAGGCCCTGCCCAGCAGATCCACAGCAGATATGCAGTGCCCTCGATGCAGTTGGGTCCATGGCCTAGAGTGGATCCCAGGGTGCCGTCACTCCCCACTAGATTGCTGTGGCTCTCCCTTGCAGACAGTACCCTCCATGCCTGTTACTCTGGGCAGGCCTCCCTGGGCTCTACTCCGTGGAGGCGTCTTTCGGGGACCGCCCCCACCCTCGTGCCCAGGTCAGCATGTCCACCTCCCCTGGGCCAGTTGTGGAAGCTTGCTGGCCAGAGGGCTTTAACCCTCAGACAGGCCCCAGGCACTTCTGGGAGGAACCGGGGCCACCCGGTGTGGGAGAAGAGTCTTCTGAAGGTCTGTTTTGTAGACTACTCAGACTCTGGAACCACTGCCCATGGGGTGTGGCTCCTTTGGTCAGGCCTCTCCACACAGTTGCTGTTCTGTGTGCCTCTGACCCCTCCCCAGGATAAGAAGGCCCTGCCACAGGTGCCCAGGAGGAGAGTATGTGTTAGGTTCCTTGTGTTGGGCAACGTTGCGATGCACGGAGGCTGAACATTAATGCCTCAGCCTCAGTCACCTCGCTGCCGAGTAAATAAAGGGAGGTGAACTTGGCCTAGACCTGAGGTGGTGACAGACAAGGGTGCGAGGCTGCCAACTGCCAGAGTCCTGCAGAGCTGCCTCCCCGAAGTGCTGTAGCGCCATCGGGTTGCGGGTCAAGGGACACACATGACCCACGTGCCTCTGCAACCCTTTCCACGCGGCCTGGCCTGGAGTCACTTGGGGGGACCCTTGCCTTCCCCGCCAGGACTCACAGTGTTCTCTTCTTTGTAGGATGAAACTGGTGCCTATTTAATCGACAGAGACCCCACCTACTTTGGGCCCGTGCTGAACTACCTGAGACACGGGAAGCTGGTCATTAACAAAGACCTCGCAGAGGAAGGTGAGCTGGGGACAGGGCCCCAGTGGACAGGCTGACTGGTCACTTGAGACAGCTTCCTCTGAGCCCGAGCCACCCTGTGAGGAGCAGGCCCAGCACACCTTCCCCTGCAGAAATCCCACATGCCTGCGTCCCCTCGCTGGCTCCCAGCTTCCTGTCACCTGTGCCCCACAGGGCAGTAGGCGCTTGTCTCCAGGAGGTGAGGGCTGCTGGCCACCTCGTCCCCTGTCTTCCTCCGGGAAGCGAAGACTTCACGGCCAGGTTGACCCGTCAGGACCGCTGTCAAGCGGGGAGCGGGTCACCTGGGCTCTGGGCCATGTCAGGAGCCTAGTTAGCGATGCTGCTGGGGCTAGGGCTCCGCTCTCACGGCTACTTTGGCTCACACTGTCCTGGACATAGCCGCCTCTGGGTGAGCCCCGGGTGCGCTCCTTCCAGGGCACCTGTGCACCCTCACCTCTGACCTCTGTCTGTTCTCAAACAGTCCAGCGCTGGGCACAGCGAGTAGGGAGCTTGACGTGTCAGGATCTGAGAGGTCCAGGTGTTTCCGCTCTGCATGGGCTCTGGCTCCTGCCGGGTCCTCTAGTGACTGCCGGGACTGACCTGGGCTCACTCGTTTCACTCTTGCCGCTTCCTGGGCCTCCAGAGCCGAAGGGGACTTCCGTGTACATGTGCACTCATGTTGTTTGGGGCACCTTCCTTTGTCTTGGTGGAGCCGTGCAGTTCTAGGCTAAACTTGACAGCCTGTTCCCGGGGCAGCTTGCTCAGAAGCAGGCGCTTGCTGCAGACAGGCCCCTGCCGCCCTGCCTCGTCCCCTGCCTCCTGGCCGGCCTCGAACGCTGCACTTTCAGAAGGGTCCATGCGACCACCGGCACCTGGAGCGTCCCACCCGCAAGGCCTCTCAGTCCCCACCCACAGGTCTGGGGGTGGCTGACAGGATGGCACCAGGCTTGCATTTCGTCACCTACATGGCCACACGCCGTCCTGAGAAGTGACGTTGTAAGTGCAGCCACCCACCGCCAGGCTCCCGGTCTGATTGTGCTGCCTGGGGGCCCGGTTAGGACACGGCCCGGGGCTGCTGGTGCTGCCAGTGTGGGGACACCGTGTAGAGTGATGCCTGGCCAGGGCGGCCAGCACAGCCCTTCTGGAATGCACAGGAGGGTCCTGGGGCCGGAGAGCCCCCAAATGGGTGCAGCACGGGTCACAGCCTTGGGGAAGAAGGGCAGCCCTAAACTGTCAAGAGTCCTGGAGCCGCCCTCTCAACCAGCCCGGCTTCCAGTGGAATGGGGAAACTGAGGCACCAAGTGACAGACCCGCATGAAGCCATCTGCAAGCCCCGGGCCTCCCGTGAGGGCAGCAGATGGCCCGCGGGTGACGGAGGGAACGTCTCCAAGTTCCATCCAGGGGCGCCCAGGGCGGAGCTCGGGGTAGATGTGTGTGCGACAGTGTACCCAGCAGGCCACCTGGAGTGGCACGTGCCAGGAGTGTGTTCAGGAAATGGGCCCTCTGCCCTTGATCCTGGGGCGCCCCACTGAGCAGAGTCTGCACGGGGTCCATTGGCACGGGGCCGAGGAGCTGCCAGGGGCCAGGGCCAGGCATGGGCTGTAGGTCCACAGAGGGACGGGGCGGGACGTTTATTCTTGGATCTGGTGAAAATTACTTTTTTCTATTCTAGGAGTGCTGGAGGAAGCGGAATTTTACAATATCACCTCACTAATAAAACTTGTAAAGGACAAAATTAGAGAACGAGACAGCAAAACGTCGCAGGTAAGAGCAGTGACTAATAGGCCCCCAGCTTCTGAGGTCTGTCTGCCACAGTGGTGCCGCTCACTCTCTCCCTTTGCGCTGGCCAGGGGCAGCCTCTGCACGAGACCCCAGGGTCGGTGCTGTCCCTGTCGTGACTGTCTTCCTTGGGAATCGTCCTAATGCCTGACGGGCCTGCTCTCTAGCCATGTCCTGCGGCGCTGCTGTAGCCTGCACGCTGGGTGTGTTCGTCCGTTCCTGCCCAGCCCACCCTTAGGGGTCTCCACCCAGGGGCAGGGGACAGACAGTGCCGCAGAGGAAAGTCCAGGGACGGAGAACAGGGAGGCTTCCAGTGTGGACATCTCAGGGAGCGCACTGTAGCAGGGCGCAGCAGGTGCAAAGGGCCTGTGGCTGGCAGTGAGCTCAGGGTAGACGGGGGTAGGGTCCTGCAGGCCAATGTAGGTTCCACGAAGACGTGGCTTTTCCTGGGAGAGAAGAGCGCAGTCAGGGCTCTTTGTGCCTGCTTTTTGGGACTGTTAGGCCAGAGTGTGAAGCAGGCCATGTCCGGCATCTTATGCAGAGGGAGGTGCCGGAGGGGCTGAGCTCCACCCTGGCTGGCGAACGGCAAGCCGTCTCCCAGTGAGCAGCTCCGGGGAGGAGGGGGGGAATGCCATGAAGTGGACGCACCCTGAGAGCCGCCTCGCTCATCTGGAGTCTACACCCACCTGAAGCCCTTTGGCTGCCCTGTCCCATCGTGGGCCCTCCCGCCAGGTGTCTGGCAGGCCCTGAGCTAGAGCTCTCGGCCTTTGTGAGATGCTCGCTGACGGCCTGGCCGCTCAGAGTGGCCATGGTGCCCCCAGCCCTCTCTCCTGCGGGAGCCCCTCGGGCACCAGACAATGAGGGAGAGGTCCAGGGAGGGGGCAGGAGACCCGACCACAGGCTCCCGGGTCATCTCTGGCCATTGGCTGCCACATTCCCCTCTGTTCGGCCACCCCACTAAACACATAGTATGATCCACACCTGCAGCACTGAGGCCTCTGCGTGGTGGGCATAAAAGAGCCCCTCCTCAGGGCCTGGGCCAGGAGCGCCGGTGTCGTCCCTGTCGCAAAGGAGCGCACTGGGGCTGTGTGACAGCCAGCCCCCTCCTGGCTATGGCCACCTGTTACACTCGCGCCGAACGCCGTGGCCTCCTACCAGAGGAGCAGCTGCAGGAGGGTAGGCTGCTGGCCGGCAAGGTCCCGCGGTGCTCTCGGCAGCAGAGACCAGGCCTGGAGTGGAGGTCGGTGGGTGGGCGCCTTGGCGCATTGGGTGACACAGCAGCTTTTCGGAAGCCGCATTCCCCAGGGAGGGCCCAGGTCTGAGCGCCGTGGGCGGCTCCGCAGGCCCTCCCTGCCGTCCCCTCCCAGCTGCCTTCCCTTGCGTCCGCGGTCCTCACGCGCTCACGTCTAGTTCAGGGTGCCGTCGGGATTTCAGGAGCATGACTCACTGAGCTTTGCAGTTTAGAAATAGAGACCTGTTGGATGGCGGATGTGGGGGAGAAAAACAGCTCTTCGGCCTGTTTTGCTTTGCTGGATGCGTTTGGGGTCGCTCTGTGCACCGTGACCTGAGCCTGAGGGGGGCGTTAGCCTCCCCTGGGTCCCCCGCGGGGCGCGTCTCATCCATGGCTGTGGCTCTCCCAGGTGCCGGTGAAGCACGTGTACCGGGTGCTGCAGTGTCAGGAAGAGGAGCTCACTCAGATGGTGTCCACCATGTCTGACGGCTGGAAGTTCGAGCAGGTGAGGCCCCAGGGACCAGTAATGAGGCTTCGGGGGCCTGTGGTGGCCTGTCACTGTCCTCTGGCACCTTGCGGACAGCGGCCTGTGCCCTGTCCTGACGGGATTGGTCACAGGTGTTCGGGTGGGGCAGGTCGAGTTGTTCTAGGGCCCCTCCCCACAGAAGTCCCCGTCCCTGCTTCCCCACCCTTCTCTCTGAGTTACCCTTCTTACTTGAGCCTGTGCTTTGCGGGGACTGTTCCCTGTGCTTCCATCTGGCATCTCCGTGTGTGTAGGATTGACAGCCTGAGTGCATCCCGGCCTGGCCCCACTTTCCTGTCCCCTCGCGTCCCCTCCTGTGCTGGCTGAGCAGATGGTGGCGTGGGCTCCTTTGTGCTGCGGTTGGCACAGATGCCCTTCCCGGCGGGGCTGCTCCGCGGCCCCCCAGGCCCTTTCCTGCCCTTGGCTCTGGTGCAGCTGTGCCCTCCACTTTGCTGGCCTGACGTGAGGTTGTGGGAGTGCTCCTTCCCTTCATGGAGCCTGGGCTCCCGGCCTGTGCAGCTGCAGCCCACTGGCTGTGGGCCCAGGAGCGCGTCCAGGATGCTCACCGATTGGCCAGTACCTTTTCCACAAACTCCTCACTGTTCCTGTCCCTCAGGCAGGTTCGAACTAAGGTTTGGACCTGTGACCCTCCCCGGCCCCCAGCCCCAGGTCCCACCTGCCCTGCTCGCCAGGCCCCCTCGGGCCTCGGAACTTTCTGTTTCCATCCGGTGCAGGTTCCGGCCACGGCGAGCGGTCCTGCCGGGAGAGAGTGTGGGAAATTACAGGCTCACCCTAGTCTCCTTTCTAATTAAGGCCACACCTTTTCTTTGGGTCTTTTGAAACGAGATCATACTGTAGAGCATGCTTGGAATCCCCTTAAAATGTCACTGAGACAGCTGCAGTGTTGTGTCCTCCCTCCGGTCAGGCGGGCCTGAGGCCGCCAGGGCTACTTCTCTGTGTCCTCTCACAGTATTAGCCGTGTGCCGGGGTCCAGGTAGTATCCAGACCTCATTACATTCATGCCACAGACCGTGCAGGGACAGAGGTCCCCTCCCATGCCCCTCACATCCTCCCTTGCTGTGCGGCCCAAAGAAAGGCTGGGGAGATGGGGGCTGCAGGTGCCGGTCAGGGTGTTGCAAGGTCACCCTCGCTGGGAGCGAAGCAGCTCTGTAGCTCTCTCGCTGAGAGGGAGAATCTCCTGCCTCCTGCGTGGGCCTCTCCCTTCCTGTCTGTGTTCAGCTTGAGGGTTTAGTCCTTAGCTCCTCTGGGCGGATCCCAAATCATCACACGTGCCAGGTTCCTCTCCTGTCCCTGAGTCTTTGTCTCTGGAGGATGTTGTCCTCCCGGTTCTTGCCAGCGAAACTCCAGAACCAGTCCCGTTTGATGAGAAATGCTTTACTTCCCAGAAGCAGGAGCTGGGACCGCTGTGGGGAAAGTAGGGTAAGAACCCTGAGTGGTGTTGGCACCGAGCCCAGGGTCAGCCGGTGGTGAGCGCCGAGGCGAGAACAAAGTTCCGAGGTTGGTTCAGAGGAGGCTTGCGTGCAGACCCGCGGCTCCGTCTGCATCCCCGGGGCCCGCAGTGGGCAGGGCACGTGTCTCCAGTGGCCGGCCCGCCGTGCTCTCCCGTCTCTGGCCACACAGGCTACGCTGCCCGCGCACTCCTTGCTTAGCCTTGCCCGCTGCCCCCACGCTGTCCTCGTCCTTCCCACGCTGCTGCTCGTGGCACGCCCGCCCCTGGCCTTCCCCATCGCCCCGAGCGCCGGCTGTCCCCGGCGTACGCTCATGGACTGGAGTCTCCCTGCCGGCGGGTGGGCTGGTGTGCCGTGCTCACCCCATGCTGCTGCTCTTCTGTCCTCCCAGCTGGTCAGCATCGGCTCTTCCTACAACTACGGGAGCGAAGACCAGGCCGAGTTCCTGTGCGTGGTCTCTAAGGAGCTGCACAACTCCCCGTACGGCACCACCAGCGAGCCCAGCGAGAAAGCCAAGGTAGGTGACCGCGGGCAGGTGGGCGCTGGGCCAGCTGGGCACAGCCGCGGACCTTCCGGCTCCAGCCTGCAGAGGGGCTCATGGGGTGGTGGCTGCAGTTGGGCCCCTTCTCGTCATCTCCCGGCTGCACACGCCGCCTGGCGGCTTATCCATCTCGTGCTGTCATTCCTTGTCACAGAGTTCTTGCCTGACGCGTCAGCAGAGTCCCGAAGGAAGGACACATAGGTCCCGTAGGCTGCGGGGGCGGAGCCAGGGGTCTTTGAACAGGGGCTCCCCCTGGAGGCGAGCCCCTGCGACTTCAGCCCACGCCCTCTGCCTGCACCTCTTTGGAGAGGCAGAGTTGCTTCTGGAAGTTTGTCTTTTGATACCATTTTGGATGGTTTTCCTGGGGACTTGAGCCATCAGGGCTGGAGAGGGGGGCCACCCAAGTGGCACCTGCCTTAGCCACATCCATCCATGTCTCGGGGGTCGTGTTTGGTCCGTAAAAGGTGCAGCAGATCCCGCAGATGCTCTGATTTTCAGACTCCTCGGAGTGTTGGCTCAGCCCGGTCCGGCCCTGTGTACTGGCTCCGTGCTGGGTTGTTGGTGCTTCTGTCTCCTGAGGAGGGCAGGGGTGGCTGTGCCGGGTTTCATGGTGGCCTCGGGGCATGGAACAGCAGCTGCCATCTCCTCTGGGGTCGCTGGCTCCACCTGGTAGGACTCCTGGGCCTGGGAGGATGGTGGTGGCCTGAGGGCTGTGCAGTCAGCTCTGAGGCGGGCCAGGGAGGTAGGGACGGGGCTCTGGCAGGCACCCCCACGAACTCAGAGCCCCAGGGTACCTGAGTGAGTGCAGGAAACACCAGAGCCTGGAGGATTTTTAACTGATGACGTTAAGTCGGGGGTTTCTGACGCTTCCTCAGACTCTTAGCCCCACCAGGTGGCTTCTGGTCAAAGCCACCGGCCCAGAACTGCCCTGTGACCCTTTCAGGGCCTTCCTTGGAGGTGTGGGCTTGGGAACAGACAGCGGAGTTCCCGTGCACATTAGCCTTCCCGTGGTGGCCGTCCTCACGAGGCTCACAGCCGGGTGAAGAAGTCCTGCGTCTTCCCGACGGCGCGACTGTCCAGCATGTGGGGTGTCCCCGCCCTGGCCCACGGCACCGTGGCTGCACACGGGGTGCCCGGGGCAGGGCGGTGTGGGGGCGGTGCTCGGCCTGGGGACGCGCTTCCCTTCGACTCTGGGGTGGAAAGTGACATGATCCCCCCCCCCCCCCCGATAGCCCCCGGCCTCATGAGGAGGCACGTCTGTCTGAGCAGTTGCAGAATTCCTGTGTAAGTTCGTTTTTAGAAGTTTTGTTTTTGAGCTTGAGAAGCTTTCATGGCTGTTCCTGACCAGGGAGGCCGCCTGAGCTCACTTCCCTCAGGTAGCCCTTCTGCTGCAGAAAGGCTCCGTCTGTGCTGTCAGGAAGCTCCGGGCGTGACCCCAAATCCCTTTGCTTCTGAAAACGTGCCCTGTTTTTCTCTCCAAAAATACCTGGGTCTGAAGTGTGGCAGCCACTGTGGCTCATAACCAGGGGCAGTGGCAGGAGCTCCCCAGGAGGCGGAACGTGGTTGGAGCCTCCAGAACGCCACGGAGAACCGTTGGGGCTGGGTTGGGGGCGGTAATCTGGGGACACCAGGCACAGCCTGGTTGTAGCAGGGCGCCGAGGGTCAACCTCCCGGCACTAATGGCCAGCCTCCTGTCTCAAGGCGGGAATCAGGTGGGCAGCTTAGTGAGGGCAGCGGTCCACACAAGGGTGGCCCGCCTCAGCCGCCAGTTCGGGGGGCCTCCCAAACCCCTCTGCCAATCTGAGATGTGCTTGGAAGCGCTTGCAGGACTCACTGAGGGGACCCTGGGGTATGGTTTGTTGTCGGAAGGACGGAGAGGGAGGGCTCAGGTCCAGCAGGGGAGGGCGCGGGGTTCCTCTGCGGAGTTGGGACAGGTGGTAGCATGCAGAGAACAGTGCCCCCCCCCAGGGTGTCCCCCGCCTCCTTGTCCAGGGATTTTATTGCTCTCGGTGACACACAAGATCGATTGATAACTGATCAATGACTGATCGCCCACATGCCTGATCACAGTTTCTAACCCCCTGGCCATCTGAGCCCTCCCCTATCATGTTCTTAGACCGTCCCGTGTGGCCTGGAGATCACAACCTTTCCAGGGCCAGCAGCAAAGACCACACCTCTATTTGAGCAAGGTTCAGTTTTTCACTAAAAAGAGGGAGGGAGAGAGGGATGCCTGGGTGGCTCAATCGGTTAAGCGGCTGCTTTCGGCTCAGGTCATGATCCCAGGGTCCTGGGATTGAGTCCCACATCTGGCTCCTTGCTTGACGGGGAGCCTGCTTCTCCCTCTGCCTGCCTCTCCCCCTGCTTGTGTTGTGTCTCTCTCTCTGACAAATTAAAGAAAAAAAAAGAGGGAGGGAGATGTTTGGAACCTTGGGAGCACCAGGCCTGGGGACAGTGGGGCACAGGAGACACCCACACCCTGTGTTTCCTCCAAGGCATGTCTGGGCACGTGGGTTCGGGGCCCAGGACCCCCACATGAGACTGGCCCATCTGTGCTTCACTACCCAGCACAGGGTGGGTTCCTGCTCCCGATCACCCATGCTTGCCACCGCCATGGGGAGACTCGGCCTCTGCAGGCGGGTTTCCCGGCTGCCACCCCATCCTAGCCTGCACTGATGGTGTCCTCTTTTCTCCTTTGCCGCATGCCGCGTGCCGAACCAGAGTGACACGGGTCACAATGGGGATGTCTCAGATTAAGTGTAAATGTCATGGTGAGTTCCATCACCCTTTCATTGACTACTCACTTTAGTCTCCTTGACTCCAGCCCTTCCTCCACTGCACTTTGTGATTCTTATAGTGGACAGAGAACCTTCTGTGCTAGAGCCTGACTGTAGATCTCCAACGGAGCCGGCCTGTCTGGGGCGGGGAGGCTGTCTGTTTCCTTTAGGGTGTCTGGGGGTGGCATTGGGACCTTGGCTGGGGTGCCTGAGAACCCTGTGTGTCAGGCTTTGGAACGACCTCATCGCCGTGGATGCCCGCGGGCAAGGACACGGGCCGCCCCTGCTGTGTCCCTCTGCGGTGGGCTCAGAGCAGCCCCTCCCCTGAGCCTCAGGAGAGGGATGCTGATAGAGAGGAGTCTGTGAGGACCTTCTGTCTGTTTGCCCTGTGATGAGGGGCTCCACAGATGCTCCATTGGCCCCCAATTGGTCCTCCCGTCCCTCTTCCCGTCGCCCAAGTCCGGAGCCCAACTGTGCTCACCACTAGCAGGGGCTACCTGCTCTGTGCCCTCATCGTGCACACAGGGAGTCCGAGGTCCAGAGAGGGCAGGTTGCAGGTGGGTGAGCCACGCATCATCCATGGGGCTCCCCTGCTCCCTCCAGGCCCTCCCCACCCCCTGGTTGTGGGCCAAGCCATGCAGATTGGGGGCCCCTCAGCTTCTGCCCTGGGAGGTGCTTGTGAAAGGCGTGTAGCCATCCAAGCCCTGAAAGGTTGACCGCCCAGCCATGAGAGGTCTGGACTGGGGATTGCAAACAGAGAGTGGCATTTCCGTTTTTAGTTCCTTTTTGGTGATTATATCCATATACAACATCATCAGTTTTGCCTCTTGATCTACCAGTCCTCAAATACTTGTCACCTGGCCCTCTCAGACAGTTTGCCGAGCCCTGGTCTGGACGAGCATGGTCCATCTGTCACTTCAGACTTTCTGGTAGCCACGTCAAGAAAGTCAAGAGAAACGTGAATTTAGGCTTATACTGTTAATTCAGTACATGCAGAACGTCAGAAATCACGGAGGTGTTTTACTTCCCTCCCTCAGTCCCTGGAAGCAGACGTGTGGTTTGTGTCTGGCCCACCTGTGTTGGGAGCAGCCGCGCCGCGGGCTCAGCAGGCACCTGACCTGGCCTGGCGGAGAGTGAGCGCAGCTTGCCGCCTGTGATAGGAGCGGGGGGGCGGGGGGGCGGCCACAGAGCAGCCCTGGCTCCGCACGGTGGGGTGGTGTACCCCTGCCTGGACCCGTCTGAGGGGGTGCCGCCTGGGGGACGCTGCTGGTCCCTATGGGCGGCTCACGCCCCGCTGTGGGAGGTGGCCCAGTAAGAGCCCATCCCGGGCAGAAGGGCTGTGACCGTCACAGGTCTAGGCCTGGTTTTCCGTCCTCATCAGGAGACAGTTGTTGGCTCACTCTGGTGGGGCAGCCCCTCCGGTGTGGTCACCTTGCTCCAGGCCATGTTCCGGTTGCACGGGCTTCATCCTCTCCACTGTGGACTCAGACGCTCCCTCTCCTCTGCTGGGCTCCCATGGAGTGAGGGACAACTCTTCATGGGCTCCCACAGCGTCCACCTTGCCCTGCAAACAGCAGAGATGATGGGGCTGAGACCAGCACTTTGGGAATAGCAGGGACTGCGTGTGACCATCCTAGGTCCCCTTCCCAGACCACATCCCTCTGACAGGGGCCTCCTGGGCTTTCCCACCCAGCTGACAAATCCTACTAGATGTAGGGGTCTGTCCTCGTCTGGGCTGAGGAGGGACATTCAATCCGGGACGCTGCTCCCCCCATCACAGCGGAAGGTGCACCTTACAGAGAGCAGAGTGGGGTCCCAGGACGTGGGTGCAGAGGACAGGAAAGCATGAGGCCATGCCAGCTGGGTGTTCTGGAGCCCTCAGAGGTGGCAGGCACAGGCCCAGGGGCTGGCAGGGGTGTGTAGGGCACCAGGGCAGAGGCTGGAGTGACCCTCAAGAATTTGGGCCTTCTTGAGTGGCTCAGAACAAGCCCTTGGTGAATGTGACTGGAGTCCCCGGTCCTGTGGCCTCGCTGCTCTGGGCAAACCCCCTGGCCTGGGAGCAGGTGGCCGCGAGCTGGCGGGGCCTCGCTGGGAGGCGGTGAGCTGCTTTCTGGCCGGAGGGTCCATGTGGGCCTGGACCTGGTGTGAGAGGGCTGACCCCTCCCAGGGCACGGTCCCACCTTGTGCCCAGGTCTGGGGCTCAGTGTCCCCAGAGCCGTATCTGGCTCACCTCTGGAATTCAAGCAGAAGATGCCCCCAGGAGGCAGCTCTTGCATGGCCGATAACACGGGCTACCGTACAGCATTGGCCTCGGCTAGGTTGGGCCAGGCTGGGACTCGGGCATTTCTCATGGTTATGTGGTGCCTAGCAGCTGTACTGCACGTATCGATCGCAACAGCGAGACATCTGCCGGCTCTGAAGCCCCCACCCGGGGACACGGGATGGTCCCATTCCCCCTCCCTGGGCTGCATGGGGCTCAGCTCTGCAGGTGTCCATCCGTGCTCAGGGCTGAGGGAGGCTGGGGGCCCTCTCTGTCTCTGAGATGCCAAGGAAGGAGGAGCGAGAGGGACAGGCATGGTGGCCAAGGGGCAGGGGATTCTGCAGGGCTGCAGTGAGGAGGGGCTGGCGCCCTTGAGGCAGGGGGGCCAGTGCACTGAGAAGCAAAATGGGAGGCCTGCCAGGCAGGATGTGGAGGTGATGGGGCAGTCCTGGGGGCCCAGGCTTAGGGGTCATGTGACTGGGGCAGGGTTGAGGGGACACTGAGGGGACATGGTTTGTGATGGGGCAAGGAAGAAGAGCAGGTTGAGGTGGGAACCGCTGACACCCTGAGGACCCTGAGGGTCCATGCATGTCTGCAGCCCAGGACCTAGCCAAGCTGGAGACTCAGGAGTTGGTGCCTATCAGGTGGGCTGTGGCACCTGCAGGAGGAGAGCAGGGGTGGCCATCAGGGGAGATGCTGCTGGGGGCCTCCGGGCACTTGATAAGGAGCCAAGTCCCAAGTGTCATCCCCCCCCTACACACACACATGTCCCAGGCATCCCCGAGGTGGCCCAGGGAGGCACCTACTGGGGGACGGGCTGGCTGCTGTGGTAGGAAGTGGGGGTGAATACGCCTGCCATGGGTTGGGATGGAGATTTGGAGGGACCCCTGGCGAAGGGCCAGGAGGTTTGTGGGCTGGCCCCTGCAGCAAGGGTCTCCCAGCCTGTTCTTGGCCCCTGACCCTCCGTGCCAGCTTCCTTGGCCCCCTGAGCCACCTGCAGGCGGACTTGGGGTCTTGGGCCCTGTTCCTGGAGCAGGTGCTTTGCTCCAGGGCCTCGTGGCTCCCAGCTGGCCAGAGGCCACGGCCCCTTCCAACACCCAGGTCCTCATTGTCTGTGTTTGGCGTTTTCAGATTTTGCAAGAACGGGGTTCAAGGATGTGAGAACACAGTGTTGACAGCTGAAGAAACATTTTATCTTGTCCCAAGTTGCGACGATCTGCCATGTGGAGGAAGCTTGGCCGTGAGAAGAAACCTGCGTTTGACAATTTCTCTGTAGAGATTTGGGTGTGGATCCTTTTTTGCCTCTGAGGTGGGCGGTGAGAGACGGGACCAGCTGTCTGAAGCCAGGCGTCCCCACTTGGAGGAGGCGTGCTGGCCAGGTGGGTGTCCCCACAGGGCCCTCCGTGAGGCATTCCCTGGGCTGCATGGGCCTGAGGCAGGATACTTCCAGCCAACCCCTGTAATCACCGAAGGTCATTTAAAGGACAGCGCTCTTGGTGCTAACATAAACAGTCTGTGACGGAGCCTGGGCCTTACTGGTAGGAAGTGGCCGCAGAGCTGTGGCCCCAGGCTCTGGGTGCCTGCTGGTCACCCACACGTGCACCAGGCCCTGGTCCTCGGGTCAGGGAGTCCGCTCAGCCTCCCCAGCGGGAGTGGTTGGCGGTTTGCACCCCTGGCGGGTGGCTCCTGAGAGAGACGGCCTCCACATGTTCACTACTTCCCAGGCCTTGGCCCCGAGGCCCAGCCTCCATCCGAGCCAGACTCCCCAGCCTGACCCCGCCTGGAACAGTCGAGGCTTCTCCACTTGTATTTTCCAGGCCAGAGAACTTTGCATCCCTTCTTCCCCAGTGTGGACGGACTACCCTGCGTTTTTACTCCTTAGAAATGGCTACAAGTGTTGCCGAATTTGGGACTAATGTGTGAAATCATTGACAGGGACGGAGCGGTTTGTGTGGTGTGGCCTGGCCGCGCGGGCCTGTGGCGGAGCTGCCACCCGTCAGTGCCTTTGTCTCGCCTGGGATGGAGGTCGGGGCGGGAGGCCTGTCCACCTGGCTTCCGGAGCGGAGACTCCAGGTCACTCTGAAAACCGGATGTTTACACAAATCTCTCCCTCTTGCCAGCTCGCTCCTTTTCTTTGTCTAACTATGCAGTTCTCTCTGGGGTTTGGGGTGTTTGAGACTCCGGCGACCCACATGGGCTCTGCACGGGCTTTGCCCGTGGGACGTGATGTTGGAGCGACTGGGATCCCTGTAAACAGCGCTGCTCGCATGCTTTGAGGACAGATCTTTCCTAGCTGTTGGGGGGCTGTCAGAGCCCAGTGGGGGGCTTGGCTCGGACGAGCAGCTGTCTGCTTCCTCGCCAGGGCCGCTGTGCACTCTGACCGCTGCCGAGCAGGGCGGAGGCCTGGGCGTGCGTAGTTTCCAGTGCTTCCGGAGGCTTCTTTGCCTGTACCCCCTTCTTTGCCAATAACCTGATTAACCAAGTTCTCCGGCACCCAGCACTTACCTCCTCCTTTCTGTAAGGTCTGTTGTACGTTGTTAAATGTTTGGCTTCAAATTCATCGCAGCCTTTCTAGAGGGCACGTTTAGGGCTCGGCGACCCAGCCCCTGCTGAGCTCGGGGCGGGCACAGTCTCTCGTCGGCCTTGGGCTGTACCCGTGGGCGCCGCTGCCCATGCAGCGTTGCTTGGTCTGGGACCTTGACGTAATAGATAGGCTTGTGGTTTTTTAATTTAAAGATATTAAGACTTAATTCACTAAACTTTATTCTAAGGGGATATTTATACTTTTATACTTTTTTAGGTATCCGTATTTTATCAGCTTACAGTTTAATGCTTTTTTTTCCCCTGAAAATAGCAAATAAAATTGTGTATTTATGAATGAGAACAACTGTAAGTGTTTCAGAATGCATGGAAAAGGGTCTGCTGCAGAAGCGCTTCATGGGCTTGGGGTGGCCCTGTCTGTGGCCCCATCCGTGGGCTGTGGTCTGTGGCCTGCCCTGTGAGGGCTCGTCTCCGCCCCCCCTCGACTGGGCCGCCTCGCCTACCCCCTGCTGGCATCCTGCCCCCCCCCCCCGGGGACAAAGATCGTCTTCAGGTGACATGTTTAAAGCACGCTCATCCTGCCCAGAAGTGCCGGCTGTGGAGACGTTTCTCCGGTCCTGGGGTGCCTCCCCCACCCCCCACCCCTGCAGCTGCTCTGGCTTCCCCCCCTGGCTGTTGTTTGAAAGCTCTGGGCCACCCCCCCCACACCTGGGGGAAAACCCCCCCTGAGGCTGGCTAGGATGTCTTTGATCCCAGCCTTGTCCGAGTGTCCATCCTGCTTGCAGGCGTGCCGCTGGCCTGGCCAGGGCTCCCAGGGTCCTGGGACTTTGTCCTGCTGGCCCAGTCTGGGGAGCGGGACCTGCTTGCCTGGGGGCGGGTGCTCACTGTGCAGCCGGGGGCACGTGGGGAAGGACTCCAAATCCTGCTTCAAAGAGTTGGCTTTCCGCGCAGACTGACTTGGCATCTTCCAGCTCTGAGGCCAACGGCAAATCTGAACGTGTCTCCTGTCCAAGCAAAGGACTGGAAGGAAGCCAGCCGCCCACCACTGTCCCGAGACTGAGGGCCCTCACTCTGGGTCTCCAGGCAGGCAGGGAGGGAGCCCTGCCTCTTGAACCTTGTGCTCCAGCCTGCCTGCTGGGGGGAGGTGTGGGGAGGGCAGGGGCCCAGCTTTCTGGGCAGCCAGCCCAGTAGCTCCAGCAGGCAGGACAGAAGAGGGAGGCGGGTGCGTGGAGTGTGCAGCTGCTGGGTCTCCCTGCGGAGCCCGTGTCCGGAACCTTCTAAAGCCCTGCAGAGGGGCAGGCAGCAGCCCTGGTCCCCTGGCCTGGCTTCTCCTCCCTGCTGTGCTTGGTTGTGTCCACCCAGCAGGTCTTTCTGGCCTCGTAACATCCTCCTCAGAGCAGGAGGCAGTGGCTGGCTCGGGGGGCCGGGTCCGCAGCTGTTTGTCCATTCCTGGGAGCCTGTGCCCTCAGGCCGGCCGGGTGCCTCAGAGCTTGTGTGATCAGTGGCCTGGCCGGGGGCAGACACAGCTCCACTCCAGCCCCCGGGTTGAGAGGGACTTGGTCTCTGGCTTTGACTTGCACACACACCCCTTTTCCTTCCTCCTGCGTGCATCCCGCCTTCCCTGCCTTCTGAGCACCTGACCTCGGGGTGGCTACATCAGGCTCCTACCCCCTGCACAGATGCTCCAGGGCGTGGGACCCAGCTCAGGGTACAGGGCCAGTCCTTTGACCTCACAGCCACGGCTGACCTCTGGTTCTTGAGGCCAGAAGGGGCCTGGGGAGCTGGCCCAGCGGTTTTCCTTCCTGGGGCTCCCACAGGCTGATCGTAATGAGCACACAGGTGTGGATTTCCGTGCTTGGCTGCAGCCCCCAGAGAGGTTGTCCCCCTCCTCCTCCTGTTTCCCGTGCAGGCCGCTGTGGTTGCCCCAAGGTGGGCTTTTCGCTGTGGGCCCCAGCCTATGACAGTCTCCTGGTGTGTGCCTGCCTGCTCTCTGACACTGCCGTCCACCCCCTGGCACATGGCTCTGAGGCTTGGCAGCAACATGGAAAGTTGTGTATGAGCTGCCCCCCTGCCCAGGGTGGGAGAGGGGACGGTGACGGCAGGGCGGTTTCTCTCCTCAGCCCCTGTCCCAACACTCATCCACTTGCTGTGGGTGTCAGCTGCATGAAATAAACCTCTCCCTTTAAACCCCTAGCCTCTGCGAGAGTGTTTTCTCTTCCCCTCTCTCGAATGTCTGCCCCCAGTCTGGGTGGGCCCAAGTTTGGGGAGCCCAGGGGATGGGGACTATGCCCCAAGAATCCTGACCAGACCCCTGCCCTGTAGCAGAGGCAGGAGGGTGTGGGTGATGGGGGTTGCTCAGAGCAGCAGAAAACTGAACAGCCTAGAGGAGGCCCAGGTGGGGTGGCATGGCCTCCCTCCAGAGACCAATCAACCTCGAAGCACCCCCCACCCCAGCCCAGGGCTGGAGGCTTTTTCTACCCCCAGAGTGGGGTGGTGGGTTCACCCAGGCCTCTCTGCAGGACCCAGGCCAGCCCCTGTTCCCAGCCAGAATGACCCAGAGCTCATCCCTAGGGCTGCCCTCAGCCCAGACCCTCTCCCCCACCCCCACCTCCATCTGGACCTCAGACCACCTGCTACCCGCCCACCACCCGAGGGACTTGGAGCCCATCTGGTCTGGAGAAGGAGCTTGTCGAGCCACCTGGTCCCTAGAGGACCACTGAGCAGCCAGCCAGGGGGGTGGGACCCTGTGAGCCTCTGCTGGTTGCCTCCCCTCCGTGGTGGCAGGGACATGCCCAGACCAAGTGGAACACAGAAGGGAATTCGTGTTCCCACTCTGTCCCTGGGGCCGGTTCACAGCAGGTGCTTGCTAAGTGGTTATTGATCCATTCCAGAAATATCCAGGTCTGCTTTCTTCCCGGCACCAGGCCTGGGCAAGCGGTGCCTTTGTGTGCACCGGCGAGTGTGTTGTATATGGGTGTATGTGCATGTGTGTGCACACATGTCTGCATGTGTGGAACACAAGGCAGCCGGAGACCTGGCCCTGCCTTCCTAGGAACCTCGTCCAGTGGATGGTCACTGAGCTCACAGGCAAGCCTAGATAACTTTCAGGAATTGGCCCAAACGAGGGAGCTGACCATCTGGCTCCGAGAGGGGCCTGCTGTGGTTGTATCTGGCGGTGAGCCTGAGGCTGTCTCCCGGGGCAGCCACACCGGGCAGGCCTGAGCAGGGCTGGAGCAAGCTGGGGATCTGAGCTCTGGAGACCTTTTGTGCAGGATTCTTGGTGGTAACAGGCCACAAGAGGGTGGCTGGGAAGCAGGGGTGGGGTGCAGAGCTGGGGGGCTGTGATGGATTCTAGCTCATTTCTGAGTTCTCAGGGATCCTTGCACAAACCACTGAAGACTCCGGCTGGTATGGCCTGAACCCTAAACCCTGTGGAAGGAAGAAGGAAGTGGGTCCTGGCCTGAGCAGGGGGGCCTGCCCTGCTGACCTCCATGGGCCTGAGTGCCTGCCCATGCAATGTGTGGATTTGGGGCTCATGCTGGTCCCTGCATCTTTGAGGTTTAGGGAGGCCTGGCCTCCCAGAGTGTTGGGGCTGGTGGCCCAGCAGAGCTGTCCCCAGGCTGTTGCAAGGGGGGTCTGGAGCCTAGGAGGGAGATGGGCAGGCATGGGAGCCCAGGGGCAGGATCTAGGTCTCTACCTCTCCCTGCCTTGACCTTCATTGAGTTCACCACCACCCAGGTCACCTCTGATAGGCAGGTGGGGGCGCTCGTCTCGGCTCAGAGAGGGTAGCAGCTTGTCTGATGTGCCCCAGCAGATGTGGGCCCCAATTCCAGTCCCACCAGTTCCCTGCTGTTTGGGACTCAAGAGTGAGAAATTGAAGCTGAGGGAGGGGGTGCAGGAAAAGGAGCCAGGGCCCAAGAGGGACCGAGGGAACAAGGAGTCCCTGGGGGTCCCAGGGCACCAGGGACAGCCCTTGCCTCCCCCACCCCATTGCAGTAGGAAAGCACAGCCGTGGGTGAGTCACCCTGCTGATGTTATTTAGAGGAGTCTTGGGGTGATTCAGACACAGGCAGTGGGGGCCATGGGAGATCAAAGTCTTCCTCTTCTGGGACGCTCCACTGGGCCCCTGCCTTTTCTGCTGGTATCTGTTGCTGCCCCCCAGGGGTGCCCTTCAGGGATACAGTGAGGACGATGTTGGCAGACGGTAAGGCAGGGCTGGGAGCAGGGAAGCCCCTATGAGGGGATCCGGGGTTGGGTGTCCAGTGCACCTGCTGCAGCTCCCCTCCCACTGGGGAGCCTCAGCCCCCAGCCCAGCGCTACAGCAGCCCCCCATCT